TAAGAGAGAGATAGAGGGGGGAGGGGAAGAAAGATTGAGAAAAGATGGGGGGCGGCGGCTGAGGTTGCCCTAGGCAACCTAGACGGAATTCCGTCTAAGTTGAATTTTCCGTCTTATTTGTCAAACTAGACGGAATTTTCCGTCTAGTTTGACCCAAACTAGACGGATCAGCCTAGACGGAAAATTTTCGTCTAGTTTGACTCAACCTAGACGGAAATTTTTTCCGTCTAGGTTGTTCCGTCTAGATTGATCGTTTTTCTACTAGTGTATATATAACTCAAAAGTCTTGGGATTACATGAGCTATGTGACTGTTTGAGGAAAAAACTATAACCCTCGGTCTTCGTCTCAATTTTCGAGTTTTAGCATGGAGATATCATTTAAGTTGGTGTTTCGGGTTGAAATCCCACCTGTCACAGGTTTTCAAATGATTTTCTAATTAAAGATAAAGATGCATGAGCTGAGAGGGAGTTTTATGTATGCTATAAAAAAGATGTTCAACCTGCGGATATAAAATAAACTATAAAATTTTAATTCTTAATGTTAATTTCATCACAACTCCAGAGTTTGGTGCTATCAAATATTTATTTGACTGCATTAAATCTCTAAATTGAGATCATGGGATATTAGAATTCAATTGCTATTTTTAAGAGTGAACTTCACACCCACCCCCCACTGGGCCACCCCGAAAAATTAACTTTTGGCGTTTCCAACACCGTCCCCCATCGCAACTTTGTTTCCACTTAACTCCCAAAACTTTTCACATAAAACCTCCAAAATTTGAAAGAGTCTCAAATAACTTTCTACTTGGTGAATAGAAAACTGTTCTTCACTGACCAAAGAAAAAGGGGAGAAAAAAAATTCTTTCCTTACCTTATAATTGGTCACATTCACATAAATTTGGTCATGCACGATATGAATTAATCAAATGGGCAATGAGAGGATACTAGCTGCACGCTCTCAAGAGACTCTTTAGGACACGAAAAAGCCTACAATATGTAAACACACGTTTTATGGTCAATCACAAATATCTTTTTCCCTTTTTCTTTAGAAAAATTGCATGAATGCATGTGACCACTTTTATGAAGAGCCTTGTCGTAAAAGAACTGTCTTTTAGTGACTTCGGGGCTATTTTGTTCACCGTTTTTGAAGAAACTTTTAAAGAAATCTCCTAACATTGATAGTTTCGTAATTGATTGATTTTTAGAGTTTTCTTAAAATTGTGTTTGGTTCACCAAAATTTTATAGGAAAGATTTCTATAAAGTAGAGAAAATGGTGTTATTTGATAAAAATAAAACTCCTCTCGATATGGACTAAAATTGCCCAGAAATCTAACGCATTGAATTAAATAATAAATTTTATACAAAACTTCCCCATTTTCACTCTTAACTCATTTTCTATAAAGTTAGTTTTCCTTTTTTTATATTTTGAACAAAACAAAGAAAGAGTAAAAAAAACACTACTTTTTGAGATTCTATAAAACTTTTCCTACAAATTTTATAGAAACACATAAAAATTAAAATTTGAGAGCTTTCTATTTTCCTTTTTTCCAATAGAAATCAAACCAAACACCCCCTTCATATTTCCAACTCGGAACTGTCTCTCTCTAAAGTTGGCGGTGCCTTGAGTGGGGGTGGTGTGGGCCCATTGTGTGCTATAGA